CTTTTTGTTCATATTCTTTTATTTACCCATGATTTGCAAGAGATTTGGCTTTCTGCTCTGCTTTTCCCCTTCATCCACCCCTCTCCTTTTTTTGGAAGGGGGTTATATATGAGAGGTTGTTGAAGAAGTCCAGTGAGGCTGAAGTAAAGGAGCAAGATAGGGCAGTTAACTATAGAGCACTTTATTTCTCTGAAGCCTTTGTAAACCAGAAATGGGGGTGCGAGTGGCTTGAATCTCCCATGATGTTGGAGGGCCCTTAGTGGGATTGGTGTGTGACTTAATACTTCCTGTTGGGGAAAGGAGAATTTCTCTCAAAGGGGGGCAAAATGCCTTTGCCCCGTGTCTCTACTTTAGGCATCTCTTCTTTATTCCTTCCATTAAAGGTGTCCCCTACACATGACTTCCCATCAGTTCCTCCCAAGATTCCCCCTTTACGGATTATCACTCCTCTTTTCTAAACCCCTTCCCCATTCGGACCCATACAGGATTTGCAAAGGTAGACTGAATCATACATGCAAATGCCCCTGTTCATCTGTGTCTTCTGGAAACCAGTCTCCTGAAGAATTCCGGTGGGCAGCCAGAGTAACTGAAGTTGGCTAGGACTGGAGATTGGCCATCAGGCCTCCTGAGATTCCAGCTCCCCTCCACCAAACTCAGCCATGCTATATGGCACAGGACAAACCTGACTCCCTCTGGGCCTCAGTTTCCCCTCCCTTTCATGAAATGGAAAGAATACTACTTTTCCTTGTTGGTCCAGCATTGCTGGACATGAAGTATAGTCGTTGTTGTATTGGGTGATGTGTGCAAAATTGCAGGAGCTCACTGCCTATATGAGGAAATAAGGGAGAAAGTGGAGGAGAGGGACAAAAGGAGCAATTATTTGGTAAAGATCCACCCATCCCAGCCTTCCTCTCCTCAACCCCCTCTCCTCATGTTTCTTGTTCGGTGAGTCTTTCATACCACCCATAATGCTTTGCATTGGTGCAGGCTGGGAAGGGGGTGTATGGTCTCACAAGTTGTTGTTGTTTTTTTGCATGCTTTCTTAATAAAAAAAAAAAGAATGTTTACAGTTTTATCTTACTGGTAGTGGTCTCAAATTTCTTTTTGTCAAGGTACCAATGGAAAAATGTGAAAGCCTTTAGCCTGTCTTCCACCTCCCACCAGTAGGTTGAATTAATTGACCCTCACAGTTTTTGTAAAGACATGTCTTTAACATTCCTCTTTTCATATGCTATTAAGTGTAGTGAAATATTGTGGGGAGAGCCAGTCACCCGTTTCACATTGGTGCGTGGAGTAGGCCTATCTTGCTTGCATTTTAGGATAGTGTAAAGATTTAAGATAGTACAGTCTGGAGAGAAGTTGGGATACTGTCCCTGTTGGGGACTTCCTGGAGAAGATCTAGTACAAAATAGTTACAGGTACTCTCCAGAGTTTTTCATCAGAAATGAGGAATTGTAGGAGTTTCTTCAGAATACATTTCCAAAGTAAATGGACTAGCTGGGCACTGTGGCTCACACCTGTAGTCCCAGCTACTTGGGAGGCTGAGGTGGGAGGATCACTTGAGCCCAGGATTTTGAGGTTACAGTGAGCTATGATCACACTACTGCACTCTAGCCTATGTGACAGAACAAGACCCTGTCTCGGAAAGAAAATTAAAAAGAAATTAGCAGGGCCAGGTGCAGTGGCTCACGCCTGTAATCCTAGCACTCTGGGAGGCTGAAGTGGGAGCATCACTCGAGGTCAGGAGTTTGAGACCAGCCTGAGCAAGAGTGAGACCCCGTCTACTAAAAATAGAAAGAAATTGGTTGGACAACTAAAAATACATAGAAAAAATTAGCCGGGCATGGTGGCGCATGCCTGTAGTCCCAGCTACTCGGGAGGCTGAGGCAGGAGGATCACTTAAGCCCAGGAGTTGGAGGTTGCTGTGAGCTGGGTTGATGCCACGGCACTTTAGCCCAGGCAACAGAGTGAGACTCTGTCTCCAAAAAAAAAAAGAACAGGGCAGGGAAGGGAAATAGAAATTGATGGGTATGGGCCCATTTTTTTCCTCTGTACCTTGTTGAGTGTAGTGAGCCTCCACTCAAGTAACTCTTGTCTGTCTTTGGCAGTGAACTCTTACGGGCACCCACAAGCTCCCCACCTCTATCCTGGCCCATCACCAATGTACCCAATCCCCACCCAGGACTCAGCAGGATACAATCGCCCAGGTAAGAGCCAGGAAGCTTTTTTCACCACCACTCAAGCCTGATGAGTTGTGTCACTTTCCTCTGACTCTCAGCCTGCTCTCTCTGGCATTTTGCCTGCATTTGCCAGGACGGGGGGAGCCTTCATCATTCCCAAGGCTGGAGGATGGGCTACCTGCTAGGGAGGTGTCCGTCAGGGGAGACTAAAGAAGACAGATTTACTTTAAATTAGCTAGGAACTACCATACTGAAAGTACATAAAAACATAAATATAAGCAAAAGATAGATATGTGGACTCTAGATGGAAGATATACCCAGGCAAATAAAATGAATTTGTTATGCAAACATACCTGCTTGTGCCCATGTCCGCTCTCCTGTCACCTGGCCGCTCTCTCAGGGGTCTGGGATTGAACTATCCCTGATGGGAGGGCCAGCGGTGTGGGAGACACTGAATTGCCATAGATAGTACGAAGTGAACAAAGCCTTCACATTCAAATACATTTTAGAAAAATCACTGTTACCATTCTACCTGACCACAAGCGTTTTCAGTTTCGGGGGTGACATCCGATTCTTTGTATTCCTTGTCAATGTAATATGAATAAAAATTTCTATACTGTTATTTCGTGTAATAGTACATGTTGTATGTTATTTTATCACTACCACATAGTCTTCATAAGTATAATTTTTAATGGCAGCGTAATATCTCATTGCCACGTAACCTAGTTTAGTTCATCTCCCGAGACTTCACTGAAGTGGTGTCTGCAGCAGACGTGGTGACTCCAGCTGAGGAGGACAGTAGCTCCACAGGCCTTCTTCAGGGTATTATTTGGGGCTAGACTGGCAAAGTAGTTTCCATCTACTCTCCTTTTACTCTCTTTCTCTCTTCCTGACAGCACACCATATGGTCCCTCGGCCACCGGTCCCACCTCCTGGTGCCAACGAGGAGATCCCTGACGACTTCGACTGGGACTTGATCACTTAGTGCATCACAGAGTGTGGACCTCAGCCCAGGCCCAAGTGGTGAAATCTGGCAGTGGGGAAAGAGCAGCCCCAGCCCGTCCCATCCCCCTGCCTGTATATAGATATATATCCTCTTTTTGTTCTTTCTCTGTCAGAGAAGCCACCGCAAGATGCTGCCGAAGATAACCCCCTCTTTCCTGCCTCATCTCTTTTCCTTCCTGTTTTTTCCTAATTCTTTTATTATTATTCTTATATTATTATTATTACTATTATTGGTTATATACTATCCCCAGTCCCCTGTCCCTACACCATGGACCATGCCCACCCTTTGGTAACTTAAAATCATCAGGCTTGAAGATGAGGCCGTGATAGCTACAGAGAAAGGTTTCGAACTCCAATTTATCTTTCTCTCTAAGAAACTCAATGCCGATCCCACCTTTTGGCCCTAAATTGCTCTCTGTTCCTGTCAGTTTCAGGCCACGACTGGAGAGGGTACATTATCAAGTGGAAGGGGTCTAAAACACTGCTTGGCAGCCATGAATTTGCAGGTTTTACTAAATGGTGCTAATTCTGTCCTCTGAGCTCTTGTCCCTTTATGCCTTCAGTCCTTACTTCTGCCAATCTTCGTTTCCCACTGAGGGTCAGAATGATGATGGTGCAGGAGGATGACAGGAAAATCCGAGTGGAATTAGAGACCAGAGTTGGGTTGAGTAGAATGCTGCAGAGAAGTGATGGAATGTAAATCAGTGTGAACTTGGGTGTTACTGCCCTGTCCTGTAAGCATCCACTGGCTTATTCCTAGCCTGTTCTCTAGGAGATAGGATCGGTCTTAGCCCAAACTCTGCTTCTAGGGTAGGGCATGAGGACAACTATTTGGCATAGGTTAAGCCTCTTGGAGATGATTTCAACTTTATCATGTTGGCTTTTTAAAAATAATTTTTTCTGAAAATTAACTGTGGCCCTTAGAAATGGGCTGGAAATATTTCAGTTATTTAACTGTAGAGACAGATGCTTCTCTTGGAGTCCAGATCATCAGGGCTGAAGCTTTTGCAAGCAGATTTTTGAGGGGTGAAGGAAATTGGTAGAGGGGAGGAAATAATCTAGAGGCAAGAAAGAATTCACTGAGGGCCAAGGGGGACTCCCAGAGACAGGTAGAGGGATAACTTACCTCCTTTAACAAGGGGTGGCCGTGATACTCTAAATACTCTGCAATAGCTGCAGAGTATTTAGTGTATATTTAAGGTCAGTTGTTCAATTTTAGATACAAGAGGGAAGAATAATTTTACTTCTGTTTTTATTTCACTAAATTTTCACTTTCTGAAAGCTGCAGGGCAAAATGTATGGAATGGACAAGGCCACTCTCTCTGTGATTTCTGCTTTTTGTTCATATTCTTTTATTTACCCATGATTTGCAAGAGATTTGGCTTTCTGCTCTGCTTTTCCCCTTCATCCACCCCTCTCCTTTTTTTGG